GTGGAAATTCCTTGGATGGTGGAAAAAAAATGGAGGTGTGGAAGGAGGGGGAGGTTGTTTAGGATGGGGAGTTGTGATAAATGGCAGCTCCTGCCTCCTGCCATGGTCCTGAAGGCTGAGAGGAGGCTCAGAGCTGCCTTCACACCAGTGCTCCCAGTGCTCCCAGTGCTCACAGTTGGCTCCAGCTCCATGGATCTCTCATGGAGTGTTCTCCAGCTGGGCACAGAGAGCAGCAGCAAACATCCCCAGGGCCCTGAAAATTCCTTTTTACTGCAAAATATCCTGGAGGATAAGGATGAGGATGAGGATGAGGATGGTCTGCACACACCACACCCAGCTGTTCAGGCAACCCAAGGCTTTGTGTGCTTGCACAGTGGCACAGAAATAAATACAAATAAATATTAAAGAAACCAATTTCTTCTTTAGTCCAATATCCTGGAGGATGAGGATGGTCTGCACACACCACACCCAGCTGTTCAGACAACCCAAGGCTTTGTGTGCTTGCACAGTGGCACAGAAATAAATACAAATAAATATTAAAGAAACAAAGAATTAAACCATTAAATAATGGAATACCTGAGCAGTCCTTTCAGGAAGTGACTTTCCAAATAAATGATCACATGCAATGGTTTGAACAGTAACTGCTACCCACTGGCCTTGCAAGTCAGTAAATAAATAAATACATAAATAAATAAATAAGTTAAATTAAATACTAAATAGGTAAATAAATAGCAAATAAATAAATAAATATGAAATAAATTAAGGCACAATAATAACACGTAGGACATACAATAATAGCTGCCAGCAACCTGTCAAAACCAGGTTAATGTAACATGATGGATGCTAAAAGTTTAACTCCAATCTGGGGAATTGAGGAGCTGCCAAAATCAGGAGACCACATTCAACTGTTGCAATTAAAAAAAAAAAAAAACAAAAAACTTATGGCTTCTTAAGAATCTCAAATAGAAACTTTCCTTCTGATTGTGCTTCTGTTCTTGTGCTAATTCATTCTTTGCTTTCTCTAGGAGCTCTGTGCCACCCTCCTGGATCCCTTAGTGGTTATCTGTGAAATAACGACAGAAATTTCATTTACACGTCAATTTACATCAGAATTCTCGGAGTCCCGGCCCCCCCTGGCTGGGTCCTTACCTGCACATGGAGGACCAGTCGCTCCAGGAGGACAGGTAGCAGCAGTCCCTGGCCTGCACCCACACCTGAGCTGGCCCGGGGCTCTGCAGCTGCAGGGACTGCTCCTCTGTGTCGTACACCTGGGGACAGGGACAGCTCCTTCAGTGCCAGCACAGGGGACAGAACCCACCCCAGAGCACCAGGGAGGGGTCACTGAGCCCCCAGCCCAGCCCAGCCCAGCCCAGCCTGGTGTCCCCAAAGGCTCCAACTGCACCCAGGGGGTCCCAGAGGGCTGGGGCTTGGGAGAGCCTGAGCTCAGCTGGAACAGCTGGAAAGGTCAGGACCACTGAGAGAGGGGTCCCAAAGTGTCCCAAACCCACTGAGAGGGGTCCCAAAGTGACCTGAACCCACTGAGAGAGGGGTCCCAAAGTGTCCCAAACCCACTGAGAGGAGTGTCCCAAAGTGACCTGAACCCACTGAGAGAGGGGTCCCAAAGTGTCCCAAACCCACTGAGAGAGGGGTCCCAAAGTGTCCCAAACCCACTGAGAGG